TATATGAGGGGCTAACGCTTAAATATAGGTGCACAAGTTGTTTGTAATGCCCTTGACGGGTTAAACACAATCAGATCACTCTAGAAACTTTTCATCCCGAAATATGAATTTTGGAAACTCCCTCCCACAATAAGTCAGAATTAGGCTTTTTGAAACAGCCTTCATCCTTACATATTTCCTGTTAAATGTCTTGTGAGAAATTAGCTCGTAACCCATCAAAGAGTGAAGGCGGTCGGCACTCACTCTGTGTGTGTTTACGCGGCTCTGTGATGAGGCTGTGCTGAGCGCCAGACGCCCCCTTCTCAGCTTCCCGGCCGACTCACGACTCACGTTCCCGGGTGCTCAGGCGCCACTTGCTGCTGGTGCTGGCATTTGTGGGCGTGGGAGAAAGTGTGCATCAGCATGGGCAGGGGTGGGGAGGTGGGTGGCTTGTGTGAAGAGAAAGTATATGACCTTTCCGAAAATTCTTCAGAATGTGGAGGAAGGAAGCAAGAGACTTGGCAGTCTGGTGGGTTTTAATAGACTCAGCCCTGGACGCGTGGTACGGATGATGCCGAGGAAGGTGGAGCGAAGTGGGAGCATATGATGACAGTCCACCTGGCACAGCAGTGTGCGTGATGTCCGGGCCACTGCTGAAGTCAGGGAGGACCCACCACTGCCACATTCCCACCCGGGTAGAACCTCCTGGAATTCTCCAGCCACTTGTTATTGAATGTCTGAGTGCTGTGGGGACTGCATTCTAGGCCAGGCCTTCCACTGAAGGAGCACCCATAAATACATGAGAAATGGTCCGTATGTCACTGGGGCTAAGACACTATTAATTATAAGGACGCATGGTTTTATGTACTACTAAGAAAGAAAACTCACTGCTAAGTAACTTGGGACCCACCAACTTCAGAGATACTAAAATGTTGAAAATGTGTCTTTGGATCAGTGAATAACATAGCTAATTAACAATGCCAGGCTGCAACAGGGGAGGTGCCCCAAGGCCAGACGGTGAGTGGCCAGGGAGCTGGGTGCCCACTACGCACGGGAAGCCCCCGGGGGTGGGTGTCTCGGGAAGGGGCCCCGTGGCCTTGGGCAGTACCTTGCAGCGTCTGGGACACACGTGGTGAGGTGGTTGGGCGTGGCGTACAAAACTTGCCATTCCATGAGGAGAGGTGGCATGCCTCCCAGTTCTCGCTCAGAGTCTCTGATGAGATCAAGAGGGAGACTTGGTTTGGTCCTAGTGTGTCCTTGACACCTTTCTGAGTCTCGCTGATCTCCCCCCCGAGACAGGGCTCCAGCTCAGAGCCTGCAGCGGGCCGTAGTTTCAGCTAGAATTCAGTAAGTTTGCTTTGTTTTCGTTTTTTGTTATCTTCAAGATATGGCAAGTAATACTGGTTTTCCACTTATAATACTGGAAAAGTTTACATTCAAAGTGAAATCATTTGAGTAAAAGCAAATGTGGCCATTTAAAGAAGAAACATGAGGTGGATAATTTCTTGAAGGTGGTGAGTGGAGGGTCGAGTTTTGGGAAACAGATGGATTTGACCAAAATTGACTAGGGCCTGGGGGGCGGGTCGCACTGCGGAGGACAGTGGGGGTGGGGCGGGTGGGGG